ACCCCCTTTTTTTGTTGTTTGAGTTGAGGTCTCACTCTATCACCCAGGCTGGAGTGCAAGTTGGCAGGATCAGAGCTCACTGCAGTCTCAACCTCCTGGCTCAGGCGATCGTTCTGCCTCAGCCTCCCAAGGAGCTGGAACTACAATGTGCCACCACACCAGGCTCATTTTTTCATAGAGACGAGGTCTCACTATGTTGCTCAACCTGGTTTTGAACTCCTAGACTCAAGCAAGCCTCCTGCCTCAGCCTCCTAAAGTGCCGGGATTACAGGTGGGAGCCATCACGCCTGGCCAATTTCTAGAATATTTCCATCACCCCAAAAGAAGCCCTGCACCCACTAGCAGTCACTTGCCATCTCTTCCCCCCCCCCCATCCCCTGGTAGCCCAAATCTACTTTCTTTACAGATTTGCCTATTCTGGGCTTTTCATATAAATGGAGTCATACATTTCAATTGTTACAGTCCGAGTGATGCTTGGCTGTTCTCCTTGCATACCAGAAAATCAAAGGGGCAGGGAACTGGTAGAAGTTTATAAACTGGGAGTGGTGGCTCACTTCTGTAATCCCAGCACTTTGGAAGGTGGAGGTGCCAGGATTGCCTGAGCCCATGGGTTCGCGACCAACCTGGGCAATATGGCAAGACCTCATCTCTACAATAAATTTTAAAAATTAGCTGGGTGTGGTGGCACACGCCTGTAGTTCCAGCTCCTTGGAAGGCTGAGGCAGAAGAAACGCCTGAGTCCAACAGGTTGAGGCTGTGGTGGCCATGAGCATGCCACTGCACTCCAGCCTGGGCGACAGAGTGAGACTCCGACTCAAAAAAAAAAAAAATTATTTTTGTGTTCGAATCCAGGGAGCAGAGCCAGACTTGAGGCCTTTCTAAAATGGTTCTGCCCACCCTTCCGGCCTCACTGTCCACTTTTGTAGTCCAGAATTGTCGATACCTATACATTAGCCACATGACCAAGAGAGCATTGTACAGAACTCAAGTTACAGCTGCATTTTACATTTAGACAGTGACATTTAGAATAAAGGAAATTTACAAGGCCTAAGACATCATGCATTGCAAAACAGGCAAATCACAAGACTTACGATGACATTAATACTATATGATTCCAAGAAAGGGAGTCAGTAGGGATTTACATCTTTGGGCTAGTCCTTAGGGAAGTCAGAGATGCCTGAAGCTACTTACTGGGAGTGCATAGAGGACAAGGGGGCCAGGTGGCTCACGCCTATAATCCCAGCACTTTGGGAGGCTAAGGTGAGAGGGTTACCTGAGCCTGCGGGTTCAGAGACCAGCCTGGGCAACTTGGCGAAACCTCGTCTCTACAATAAGTCAAAATATTAGTCCGGTGTGGTGGTGCGTGCTGTAGTTCCAGCTACTTGGAAAGCTGAGGCTGCAGTGGCCATGCGCATGCCACTGCCCTCCAACCTGGGAGACAGAGGGAGATGAGACTCCGACTCAAAAAAAAGAAGGGAAAAAAAAGATTTCACTGGATGTCTACGCCATGTTGCTTAGGCATTCGTTCGTCATTGGGCTGTTCCCACTTGTTGGCTATTATAAAGAGTAGACACCTGTTTTCAGTTCTCCTGGGCGTATACCTAGCACCTCAGATTTATGATGGAAGAGAAGGGAGAAGGAAGATAGGATGGAAAGCAGGAAGGGGGGGAAGAAAAGAGGGAAGGATAGGCCAGGCATGGTGACTCACACCTCCAATCACAGCACTTTGGAAGACCTGAGGCAGGAGGATCACTTGAGGCCAGGAGTTTGAGATCAGCCTGGGCAACATAGTGAGACCTCATCCCTAAAATTAAAATCAGCCAGGCGTGGTGTCTCACGCCTTTAATTCCAGCTCT